CGAATTCGCAATCTACTTCACTGGTTATTAAACCTTATGAGAATTTGAGCTTGAAATACTCCTTTTCACAACCAGGTAGACCAGCATAGGGCTTAATTGTGGAAGAACGTGGTCAGTTCTACCTCTTTTCACTTTGGTGCTGGTATGGGCAAGAGTTCATTTCAGATCTTTTCTCATTACTTCAGTAATATTTTTGCATCCTCTTTCACTCTCTTCGCATTCTTTCTTTCGCCTCCAAAGTTACTTCATACAACCTAAACTGAGGCTCAAGTCTAGGTTAAATAGATACTCACATCACATAATTAAAGAGAGCTCGAGCTCGAAAGGAAATGAGGAGGCAATCCCTACAGAAGCGAGAGTGGATCCTGAGGAAATTTGATTCTGCTCGATTTGTCTCGAGTAGACATGGATCCATAAGAAACAGATGCCACAGAAACACAGTGAATGCGACGCGCGCGGGGCTCACGCAGTGTCTGTGCAAGCTAAACTGTAGAGCTCACAAGAAAGAGGTATACGTTCTATGTTTAGTGCGGGTTGAAAACACGAGGTTTAATATAATGCAACTAGGGGTCGAGAAGTATGAGATATGAAAAATTATCGTTGATTATTTGCATATTCTAGGACTAATGACGTTGTAATTGTAAATGGTTACTGAATAAAATTGTGCAATAAAAGAACTCGTATAAAGAAAATAGTTCGGCATAAACGGTATAGACGTGGATAAAACTACTCGTTGCTAAGTTAAGAGACAAAATAATGAACATCGTCGGGAGCTGTGAGTTCGCCCAAAGCAGCATAAAAATGAAAAGGGGTAGGATCATATTAATGCTCCCACAATTCAGTCATATGCCATTAAGAGGCAATTAGGAGAGAATCCAAGGGATAAGTAAAAGAAAGTCAACCTATGAAGCACTTTAAGAAATAGATTCAACAAGCGGGATGTAACAGAATACATGCACATAGCCTTAAATGTGACAAGTTACAAAAAAATGACTAACCAAAAAAGAGCGGATGAAATGGGCAGGACCAATCAGTACGCCGACAGAATAAGAGTTTCAAAAGCCAAAGTTCGATTACAGGGCTGCTGTCAAAAAGAATTTCTCTTGCAGTGAGAATCAGACGGCGAAGCAGCCTCGGCGTGTCGTGTTCACTGGTATGTCAAGTCGTGCGTCCGAGGACGCGCGCGGCGAAGTTCGTAATGGTTTGAACGATTTTAGCGCCTAACATTGGGGCCCAAATTTGAAGTAGAGTAGATCAGAAGGATAATCTGACCCTGCTGAACTAGTATACTTCGAGTTTGTGCACCGAAAATTGAGCCTCAGGGTAGTTCAAATCGTCACGAACTTCGCCGCAAAATTTGCCGCGCGCATCCTCGAGAAGAACTTAAACAACATAATCAGACAAGCCCTACGTGTGAGCGGTTGCGTCGCGGGTTCGCGCTATAGCGCGTTATTTTGGGGTGTCTAAGCACTGCGGGAAGGCCTTGATG